ACCATTCATGTGAATTGGGAAGAACACTTGATAAGACTGTATAGTACTTTAACAACAATTGGACATGCAATTGGAACTTATATTGCATGGCCTCAAGCTTTAGTAAGTATTTTTTTATTTTTAAATATTATGTTATGTTGATTAAATTTTTTAATAAATAATCAGAATACTTATGTTTGTGTAATTAATTTAATTCAGGTTGTTCGTGAAGAAGATTGATATATAACAAGAATTATAAAATTCTGAAGAGTCTGCTCGGATTTGAACAGTCTGACATTTACTACAATAACAGAATACTTATGTTTTTTTCATTTGCTTGTTGGATGTTTTATGGAATATTGTTTCTGTTTTTCAAACGCGTAGCTTTCTAACCCTGCAACTCTGCTACTAGATCAGTAAGATGCAGCTAGTGAGTTTCAAATTCTCAGTGAATGGATGATATAATTGCGAGTTTGTGTTAACTATAGAATCAAACTTCTATCTTAAAAGGATTAAAGTAATTTTTTTCCTGTCTATCTTATTTGCATTTTAAGCTGATTATGTAGTATTCATGACTCATGAGTTTTCCTACCTGTATTACATCTAAATCAGTGTAATTCATCAGTCCTTGTTCCTCAATCTTCTTTATAAGAAAGCATTCTTAATGGAACAATAGTAGCAGTTCAAGATTTTGGATTTGTTGCAGGCACGTAAAAGATGGTCTGCTAACAATAGGTGAACTACCAGACCTATTTCCATCAATATGATCACAATCATTAATCGTATCCTAGCTTCTGGTGGTCAAACTTATGAATGATCCTTTATTAAGTTTTTCTTATTGTGGGATTAAATCCAACTTGTGTAAACTGCACAACTTCACTTTATCTTGCATTTTTGTTAACCATGCTTCTTATTCCTTCCATATGCACCTGCCATGTTTGAACATCTTCAGCTCTCCAATATTTAATTTATTTAACTTTTATATAATATCAAGCTGGGTGCCAGCTTCTTTGATGCTGATTTAACTGGTGCTGATCTTTTTGACGCTGATCTTAGAGGTGCAGATTTATCCTTGGCAAATTTTACTAAGGCAAATCTAAGTAATGCAAACCTTGAAGGTGCACTTGCTACTGGAAATACGTCTTTTAAAGGCAAATCTAAGTAATGCAAACCTTGAAGGTGCACTTGCTAAGTAATGCAAACCTTGAAGGTGACTTCACTGATGTTCCATTGAGAGATGACCAACGAGATTACCTATGCAAAGTTGCTGATGGGGTGAATCCAGTGACTGGGAATGCAACGAGAGACTCCTTACTTTGCAATTGATACAGGCTCTTCTCCTCTGTTGTACGTATTGTTGAACCTTTGGCTAGTTTCTATTTTTCAATGTTTAACTATGTAACAAGGAAATGCTAAATAGATAATTTTTGAGTTGGTTGTTTGTCAAAGAAAAAAAAAGCTTGCAATTTATAAATTTGCTTTTTCAAGGTGTTAGTATCTTCAAGCTCATCTAAAGTGGCCTATTCTGGACAAATTTTTTGGATAATTATATGGTCAAAAACCCATATGCGTGTTGTTTTCTCAATGCATTGGCATTAATACTTTATATTTGTCCATCTAATTTGAATGTAAATAAGCATGACGTTATTTGATTTGTTGTTTTTTTAATGTCAAGTAAATTTTTATTGCATTTACTTATAATTTCAGATAGATTTATTATGTATGCATTCACCTGTAATTTTGAAATAATGCTAATTTTATTTGAGAATAGTTTTACAAGGCTTTGCTAGTATGAAAATGACTAGTGTTTAGTTATTAAGCATGCTGGAAACAATTCCTACCAACAATCTGTCACATTAGTCTATAATCTAGTTTGTGGACTTGTGTATGTATAAGGTTATTATGTTAGTCGTACTCCAGTTTTTCATTTTATATAGGTTGTTGTTGTTATTGTGAATAGTTTCAGTAAAGATATTATAAGCAGGCTGTTTCATATTTCCTAATCAAATCTTCCATTTTGGTCAAAATCTGGTTATGAAGAAAACCATCATGAAAGAGAACTGAGGGACTAATGGTACATTCATTATGGCCTATGCTCCCACGGTTCTTCCCCTTGCACAAATTTCTTTATTAGATTCTAATGACATGTATTCATAGCTATTTCTACAAGTTGCAAAAGATGAGCATAAGCGTATCCTCACGGTAAGCTGCAGAAAATGGCATAGAGCTGCAGGCTTGCTATCGATCGACAAACATGGACGGTATGATATTTTTCATCAAAATATACAAAAGCAGTTTTTCATACATATTAAATTTATTACAAAACTCTTATTAAAAGGACAATTAAAATGCACTTAAAAAATGTCAATTTGAATGTGGTTCATCTTTAATCTGCTTGATATATTTCAATGCTTCAGCATAATTAATAGCTATAACAAGTGTTTAACAACAGGAATTTGTGAATGTAACAACTATTGTGGTGCTCAATAAGCTTGAGGATTCGCATCTTATCTTGTGATCAAGTGAAGATAGCTTTCTCATGTACCAAAATATCTTATGCTTATTTCCATTGCTCCAGGATTCTAGTGAGTTAAATAAGATGTTTCATGCGATCACAGTCCTTTGCCATGCATGTTTTTTCTATTTATGGTGTAGTAGGTTTTTTATTTATTTTATTTTATTAATTTATTATTTGAGGATATTGGCCATAATCTCTATTTATGGCAGAAAATCAAGGGCCCCTCTTGGCTATCAATTTCAAGATTTGTCAACAGTGCAGCTTCTGAACAAGTGCTATAATATTTCTCTCATTTGAAAGACCTGCGGTCATTTTATGGTTCCATATGGTTTGTTTTTGTACTAAACTTGAACTTATATTTTTGTTGAATATTATAACAATTCAGCTGGTGCAAATTTGAAGTAGTTGTTGATTGCTATAATGTTGTATTTGGTTATAGTTCAAATATTTTTCTTGAAATTCCTCCAGTGGTACGTAGTTGCAGCAATTAACTTGAACACTATCATCACCGAGAAAAATGCAAATGAAATTGTTTCAGGTTTTGTGATCTGTTGTCATAAGGCAAAGGTTTGATGTTCACTTTGGTAAAGAAATTGAACTTATGCCACAAAGAGCCATTTTTTTTTATTTGAAAATTCTGAATCTGGTTATTTGTTCATTCAACATGCTGATGGCATGATTGGTCTAGGTCATAGCCAGTTAAGTATATTTTATCAACTTGTTAAAAAGTTTTCAATTAGTTACTCATTTTCGTTATGTTATGGTGGAATTAATATTACAGGTAGTGCAATGGTTCTTGGTATAAGACCTCTTCCTCCCTGCATGATATTTACCCATTCAGATCCTACTCATAGGTCCGGTCAATCAGCAGTTTTAAGGACAAAACATAATACATACTTTATATAACATTTGATTTCAATTTATATTAATTATACCATAAGAGAATTATAAATCATTTTTATTTATACAAATTTTATGTTTAATATTGATATATAATTTTATATCTTTGATATAGCTTATCATAAAACATTTTTTTATTTTGTTATATATTTTTTATTGTTAAAATTTTATTCACGTGTATTTACACTAGTCATTTCAAAAGTTAAAATTTAACCAAACATTTAACTAGAATACCTTACTAGTTGCATGTTAGGATATCTTTAAGATGTCAGATTATGAATAAAAAATAATTTCATTGGAGTTACCCTAGTTTTAAATGGTAACTGGAAGATATACTTCCCTTGTGATTCAGCTTCTTCATTTAAGAATGGTTTCATGTAAATACTGCTATAGTTTCTATTTCATTGAGATGACTTTGTTTCACCTTCATTGCTATTTTTTTGATCAACAAGCTTAAAATTCTCACAGGCTCCATCTCCTTCACCCTCACCGATTTTGCCGGCGATTGTGTGTTGTATGTGCGGCGATCTCAGGCTTCCGGAACAGCTCTTTAGATGCAAGTCGTGTATCTTTAAATCGCAACACAAGTGAGAAACAACTTAATTATTTCTTGTTTTTGCTTTGTTTTAGTCTGCATCAATTATACAAAATTAGAGGCAAAGTAATTTGGATGGAAATACTATAGAAATTTTCTTTCAAGAGTTTGGTTGCTAGAACCTCTGAATCATCGCTCATTTATTTCTTGATTGATGCTTGTTTAAAACTTAGTGTTGTTGATGTGAAATGTTTTGCAGGACAAGGGCAAGGCAGTTAGAAATGAGGTTGAACCAAAGGATAGAAGTGGTGGAAGAGATACCATTTTGTTAAAAATCTGGATTCACTGCTTATTTCCTCAGTGCAGGTCCACTATAATTTAGCTTAACTTAAATGATAGTGAAAACAACTAATATTTTCTAAAAAAATAAGTAATTAAAATCATGGGATCTGTTATGTCAAATTCTTTATATTTGCTTTACTTTTCATTGAAAATTAAAAATGCTTCTGCTATTTTATAGAAATTTTTTGTTAGAAATAATTAATCGTTGTTGAAATTTTTAAGTACATGTGGTGCTTAATTGATATGAATAATATATAAGCAATCAACATATGTATATTCATGATCTCATATTCCAAATTGTCTTTTCAAATGTAGGTTGGAGTGCATGACAATGATGTGGAAATAGAGATCCCAAGACTTAGTTGTTATTGTGTAAAGAAATTGCCCTCATGATAAGGGCTATTTTTTTTATTTTCATGTAATGTTTTGTGAAGACATTTATTGTAATAGATTGATTATGTACATATATGCATATTAAAGTCAAATTTATGTTGTATTTAACGTGGGAAATTGTTGTAATTTTATATTTCTGAAATAATTTTTTATTCAAAGAAAATATTTATGTAAGCTCTCATATGTACTTGAGATTTTTAGAAAATTGATTTGTGATTAATTATTTGCAATTGAAATATTATGAGTTAGTATAAATAATTAATAATTGAATGTAATTTATATTGGATACAATATATATTGAGGCACATAATAATATCATTTTATTAAAATTATTTCATTAAATTGAAATGTTGGGAAATCATATATTTTAGGGAAACTTAAATGTGACTTATTATTAAACATATTCCAACAAATAAATGTGTTAGGAATGCTAACCTATTATGACACATTATTTGTAGTATTTATTCACAAATTCCATCATATGAAGGTGATACAAAAGCTTGTCTATTAGGACATCTTATAGGTGTCATTGAGGAGACTATGCCATCAAAATTATATGTCATGAAAGGTTAGTTTTTAGGGCACATAAAAATGCCCTTAACCCTATGCCAACGGCCACCTAAGTGACACATTATTTGATGCCCCAATATATCATGTGCCATAATAGATACATATTATGGCACTTTAAGGTGCCCTAATATCCATTTTTTTGTAGCTAAAATGCAAGCTATTACAATAATGTCATATGAGACCAATTTTACTACTCTTGTTAGGTATGCTCCTTACTTGATCTCTACTGATGAGGAAAAGTGTTAAAATTTTCTATAAGGGTTGAATAAGGAGCTGACACACATTAAAAAAAAAATATAAATAAAATAAAAAATAAAAAAAAGGAGCTGACACATCCATGAGTACCTTTATAGATTCAAAAGTTTTCTAAGTTGGTGGAGCGGGCCAGACTAATAGAGATTGATTTAGCATCACCAACATTCAGATATGAGGTGGTTACAAAGATGAGGTCAAAAATAGGAGTAGGGATAGAGGCAGAGACAGTGATAAGAATAATCGCTACAGTGATTCAAGGAGATTTGGATTGATTGCATCTACCAGTAGCTACGACGAGTGTATTCATTATAGTCGATGACATTTAGGTCAGCGCTACCTCTTGATGGGATGATTTTTTTAGTGTGGACAATAAAGATACAAGGTACCACATTATCCTAAAAGAAAATTTAGAGGAAGGATTGATTCTAGTGCAGGACAGCCTAGACAAATTGATGGACATATGATTGTAGGATCCATAGCTACAGTGAAATATCAACTAATAAGGTAGATGAGAGAGCGGTAAGTGATAATTAGAGGGAGATTATTGCATCACGATCGACTGCAACTACTCTAGTGATACCACGTGTGTATAACTTATAGTGTTTGAAAGACTGATAATAACTTGAAAGTTCTACTAATAAGAAATTTATTTGAATGATTGAATGATATAGTACATATAATATATAATTAATAGATTTGTCATAGATTGAAATGTATGAAAGTATGATTACTGAAAAATTTTGAATTGAGTTTAATTTGATTTGAGTTTTGATCATTCAAATTTAGTTTATATTAATTTTGTTCCCAAATCCTTTAGAGAAATATCGAGGATGACATTTTTTAAGGTGGATAGATCGTGATAGCCCACATTTTGAACCATATAAATACTTTTTTTAGGAGTTATTATAAGTCTAAATCATAAACTATCTTTGCCATAGTGATTAAATTACACCAATTTTTTCATAATTTTTGGGCATTGGTGAAAATTCATAAGAAATTGATATCAATCAATACAAGTGAGGATTTTGGGATTGTAAGGTGACCGTTTTGCAAACCGATGCCATCATAATTTTTTAAATAAAATATACTATTTATGAATATTTTCTATAACTTTTAAAGTCCCAAAAGAATTTATATTAAAATTTGATTAAATTATATTAATCTAATAGTTTTATTTATGTATAAATATCATATTCAATTAACTAATCCTATAGACCTTTTCATTTTTTCCCTTATTCGGCTAAATAAAGAGCATGTTATGGAAAATGGGAAGTAAATAAAGGAGAGAGAAAAGAAAACCTAAGATTTGGGGAATAAAGTAATTTTTGTCAGTCACCTTGTTGAAATATTTGCTTGTTTCGTTGTAACTATTACATTATTTTGGCTTTCAATAATTTTGTATTTTTTGTATTCTTCCAATCAAATTTGTATTTTCATTATAAAAAAAATAAGGATAATTTTATATTAGTAAAATTTAATAGTGTAACTTTTAAATGCAATAGAAGTTTTGAGTATTTATTTGAAATTTTTTGTCAGATGATTTTAAAAAAGTAGTAATTTTTATCTATTCAAAAATTTATTTTAACATCTAAAAATAATATTTTAGTTTAACTAAAGCTTCAGAATTATATTTTACACAATCTCTTATAATTTGATTAATTTTTTAAAATATGAATTTTTTCTTAGTAGGGTTTTGTTGGCTGCCTTTAAGATATTTTATCATTTTTTGAATTAAGCCCAATCATACTTTATTTATTATAATGCATTGAAAATGAATTTGCGTATGTGATTTTCTGATTGCTAGTACTGCGATAATAATTTATGAGCGAGAAAAATAAGTAAAAAATTGGTTATTCACTAATGTTGGATGGAAATTGATTGAGTTGTACAAGATGGTGAGCTGACAGACTTTACTTTAAATACTGTAGTTTGATGTTATCCTATACTAATTCACATGATTTACTGATTGAGAGTTATATGAAGATGATTAATATTTCGACAGACAAAGAGTGAATACTCTATTTACTAGGTCAATAATTTATTGATATTGATACGATATTGGAAAAATACTACTTAAGGGCTTCTTATTTATTTAGTATGAATACTAAAATATATAATATCAAGGCATTATTTTTATTACTTTATGGATTTACTGTTACTTCATTATTTTAATGCTCATATCATTAGACTTTTATTATTACTGATACAGAAACCAATAATAATTGATATAATAGATTCATTGTAATGATATTGAATATAATGAGCATGTGACATATTGGATAGTATGTGTACATAGTTATAAGATTTTACTATATTGATCTATGTTTGACAGTTTTTTTATTAATGCTTTGTTTTTATTGTTTTATATGATTTATTTACTTATTGATGGTATTGATATGAAGATTGTTTTATTAATTCGATACATATACCTAATTACCATTTTTCCAATGTATTATTTTATTAGCTTCAATATCATACTATTATACTTTTTACAAATTCTATAGCTACTGCATGTGAGCTTTACTATTTTTATATTGATTCATGATCATGTGAATATTACTATTGTGGTTAAATGATTTCAAGTCAGGACAAGGGAGCAGGAGTGTGAGATTGATCAGGATCCTTCAAGTTTATATTCTTGTTATTTTAGTTATTATTTGATACTCAGGGCATGATAGATATGATATGATTGTATATATTATGAGCAGTGTATATGATTTTTGAGAAAGAAATAATGATGTATATATTAATATTTTGATTGATAGTTTTGTTTTTCGCTGATATTTTTATATATAAAAGAATTGTGTAAATTAAAAGATAAAAGAATAATTCTTTTAAATTAAATTCTAGGGCATGATAATAGTCCTTGTAATGTCCTTCACCTGGACAAAAGGACTACTTTCCAACTACTCCAGCCATGTGGCAAGCACCTAGGGAAGCCTCCAAATAAAGTTTAGCCCTTGGTTTAGCCATCATGGATTGAACTATGGGAAAGGGCCAAAACATTCAATCATGTATTTTTCTTCATCCAAAGCACCCTAATCCCCAACTTCTTTTTCCCAAAGCTTAAAACATCTCCCTAAGTCTCTCTTATCTTTTCCTAGCCTCCCATAGCTCAAAGAAACCCTCATTTGAGAAGAGAGAGAGAGAGAGAGGGAGGGAGAGAGAGAGAGAGAGAGAGAGAGAGAGAGAGAGAGAAGAAGGAGAATAGAGAGAGAAAGTGATAATTTATAAATAACTTTCAATCTAGTGGAAATTAAGGCTCAAGGTCTTCAAGGAAGTTATATATAATATCAAAAGGAGTTCATAGAACCTAAAATTGAGGGATTTCAGTATTTGGACTAAGACATTTTATCATTTTAGTGTTCTATATTAAATAGACTATTACTCTAATATTTCAATGCATGGAGCCCCCAAACTACATGTATTAGAAGATTAGGGTGTCATGAAAGTATGTTTCAATTTTTGTTGAATTTGGAGCATCCTAAACAAAGTTGTAAGTATTTGCAGTTTCAGTTCAAAATAAACTAAGAGATGTGGAGTAATATAAACTATCTGATTGCATAATTGAATGACCCATGTCGAATAAACCTGGACTTCTATTAGGCTCTCAGGAATGAGAATTTTTCTAATGCAATTCAAAATTAAAATTTGGTAATAAGTAATATAGAAACATCAACACTCCAAGAAAGTAAATTGAAGATCGTCTGGGGCCGTGTGTATATTATGGCATTCCCTCCATCCTTATTTTAGACACCTCCCTACCTGAATGTAGAGCTAAAAAAATTCGACCTATAAGGATGAGGTGTTGATCCTGAGGAAGCCTAGTCTTCTAAAAAATTACTTTCTAATCATTTTTCAAAAATTTCATGCATATATGATTTATGATATTTCAACTAGCATACATTACATTACAAATAAACTAAAATTAGATTTTAATTACATTAGCTTTATAAACATAGTGATCAATCATAAGTATATGACCACTTATGATTTCTCAAGATGTTGGTCTTAAATTCTAAAAACTTAAACAATAGCAACCCATCATTTATAGTTTTAAGGCAATTAGGTGGTTTAGTTAGTTTCCACTATATGAAAGAGATCAAGAAAAATCTACGAAGAAGTTTTGACCTATTCAAGATGGTTAGACAGAGAGTTGCTCGATGATATTAACATATATGAAAGACGTGAAGAGAAATTCACAATTTTTTTTGCCTATCTAAGGTTATTTGCCAATGTGTAGCTTTATAGCTTAACCTGTGTGGAAGAGGTCGAGATAAATTCATCAAAAATGTTTGACTTGGCCGAAATTATTTGCCATATTTAAGGTTTATTTATGAGAGCGTTGATCGAAAAAATATTAACCTATGTAGAAGAGGTTGAGAGAAGCGACTAAGATATTTAATATCTAAGGTTATTTATCAAAGCATTGCTTGATGGCATTAACTTGTGTAGAAGAGGTTAATAAAAATTCACCAAGGATGTTTGACCTATATGAGATTATTTATCAGAACATTGCTCGATGATGTTAAACTATATGAAATATGTTAAGATAAATCTACGACAAATGTTTGACCTATCAGAGTTTATTTTCCTAAGCGTTGCTTGATGGCATTAATATGTGTGGAAGTGGTCGAGAGAATCTACTAAGAATGTTTGATCTATGCGAGGTTGTTTGTCAGAGTGTTGCTCATGTTAAGAGAGTTGCTATTTGCATGTTTTACCTTCTTGCAACTTGTATAGTTTTGATGATTCCAAATATTATTGTTTTAAGTTTTATTTTCTCCTAACACTTTTTGGAAGAAATGTTTTTGCTGTTGTGTGGACTAACATTTCCGGATAATCAAACTCCATACTAATGAAAACTTCAAATTAAATTCAGCATGAGATAGTTTGTAAATTGAAGCTTATATTTTTTATTGTATTGAGTTTGAGAGAATGATTGTAATTGAGTTCTAGGACAATGTTCTCCATTCTTTTGACATAAAAACCGTTTGCAGTTATGTTTTATTATGGCTTTAAAATAAGTGTTCGTACCGGACGAATATAGTTCGTACGGGATGATGATCGTGTATGAAGTCAACTCATCCCAATACACATAAGAGATCGTACGCAACATTTTTACACTATTCGTCCAAGATGAAATCATGATTGTCCAGGACGATTGATAGTGTACAGACTTGAAAGTCAGCAGTTTTTGGATGGTTTTTTGTGTCTTTCCTATATAAAGTCTACTTAAAACTGTTTTGTAATCTTTTTTCCTACTGATCTTCATGTTAACTAAAGGGAGAGTGAAGGACAGAGTGTGAGAGAGTGTTTGAAGGAGGATTCTTACTACTGGAGCGTGAAGGATTCACTTGGTACTCAAAGGTAAGAATCTCCATTTGTAATTTGTGATTACTTCACTCTTTTCTCTCGTCCTTCTAGATTTCTTGTGAGAAGATCTGTCAAGGAGATCCGGTTCTCTGCCGACACTTAGAAAGTGTGAACAACCGAAGGGTTCTCTGCCTACACTTAGAGAGTGTGAACAGCCAAAGGGTTCTCTGCCTACACTGGGAGAGTGTGAAAGGATGAAGGGTTCTCTGCCTACACTTGGAGAGTGTAAAAGGATGACAGTTCTCTACCAACACTTGGAGAGTGTAAAAAGGATGACGGTTCTCTACCAACACTTGGAGAGTGTAAAAGGATGACGATTCTCTGCCGCACCAGGTAGTGGTGGAAGAGAATTTTGTAAAGGCTTCTCCGCCTTGCTGTGGGTGCAAAAGGAGAGTCACTAGTGATATTAGTGCAATACTCGGAGGGTGCCTCTGGGAGTGGATGTAGGTCGTGTTTGACCGAACCACTATAAATCTTGTGTCTTTTTTATTTTCCGCTGCTTTTATTTTTAACTTTTAATTTGTGGTTGAATAACCTTTTCTACAAAATTCACTAATGTTATTCTCGGTTTAAAATTCAAAAAGAGGAAAATTTTTTAATTACCAATTCACCGCTCCTCTTGGTTAGCCGCTGGGACATAAGCTTAGGTCTAACAACCTAATTCATATTGAACAAGTTTCAATAGCTCAATGATATTAATTTGTGTGTAAGAGGTTAAATTGAATCCTCTAGCATTGATTATGCTTTCATTGAGAGTGGGTGAATGTCATATGTATCTCTAATCAAATGTAAAGATTGGTCTAACTTTAGACTGTTATTGTTTGAGGTTGCAGCGCAAGGTTTCCCCTCAATCCAAACCAGCTTTTGATAAAAGTGATGTAGCAATGATTGATAACAGATGGGAGATAAAATAATATATATTTGTTGTTGCACTGAGGTTACACTTAATATTGAAGGACTTTCTTCGGACCTGATAATAAATCATGGTAAAGGAATTACCCTACTACAATCATGCCCAAAACGTTGATGTGAATGACCTTTTGAGATTGCAACAAAGGTTGCCCCCTAATTAGTAATCACTTCATATATAAATTGTCAAGTTGTTGTGTGTCAGAACATTCATGATCGTAGAGAGATATAAGATTTAACATCCTAGTTTTGTACAAAGATCTAGCATACACACATATAAGAGAGAGATGTGCAAGTGTCATAAGAGACACTAGGATTTTTTACGTGAAAATCCTAAAAAGTGGAAAAACCATATAAAGTATGTTACATAGTTGGAGTTGGATTTGAAATAATTCTATGGTATGATTATTATTTTCAAGAGAACATTAGCATGTTTTTTTTGTCGTAGGATCATAGTCGGGTAATGATGGCTGGATGGATCGTAGTCTGACGACTGAGGTTAGATAGGCCGTAGTCGGCGGGCAACACAGGTCAGAGGGATCATTTTAGGGGATAAACGTTAGAGGGATCATAGTCAGTGGGCAACCTAATTAGATTGGAGGCTCGATGATGGATACCGAATGGAGGTCCAGCAGTGATGGTCGGGCTGAGGTCCAACATCAGTGCTCAGGTGGCGAGGGTTCGACGACGGTCGTGCCTGGGTGAAACTTCTGGATTATTTGAGCCTTAGAGCTCTCTTGAGTTTCTAGCCTAGGATCCACGACTTTTCCTTCCCAAGGTACCCCTCATATAGAGAGTGGGGGGTGCATTTATAGATTTTAAGAGAGAAATACTAAAAAAATTCAGGATAAATTTGGAGCGCTCAATCGGACGACTCATACTGATTCCCTCGATCATTGAGCATTAGTTTAGCATTTTAAGTGCCTTAATGATGTCACAATTAAATGAACTTCGGCTCGTTGGATTTGTTTCATCGAGATGCTTAATTTAATGATAAGCATGCCATATTTGGATATCATTTGGTCATCCAATCAATAATTTGGAGATTCAAAATATGCCTCAGCCATTGATTTGAGCCCATTTTTGGGCTCAGATTGAATTGATTTTGGTGCTGTTGGGTTTGTATCTTCAAGATGTTCAATTTAACTATAAGTTTGCTAAAATTTGAGCTTGGATGGTCCAAATTTTAATTTTGAAAGTTTTACATTGAATATTCCTCAAGATTCGTATATGATCAATGCGATTTTGGAGACGTATCAATCTTGAGATAAAGAAAAATAGCACATAAGAAGTTAATTGAAGCATTTTAAAATTGAAACTTGAAAATTTTTGTTATCTTTTCATAACTTTTGATATCTTCTAACTACTGTTAATATTGAGAAAATTTAATTATATATTCTCTTATTTTTCAATTGATTAGATTAATCTTAGCTTTACCTATTTCGACAGTAACAACTAAAAGTGTATCATCAATGAAAATTATTAATATAAAAGAATAAAATCAGATGGAAGAAATTTTTTTTACAAGTTTATTGATAATATATATTGAGAAAGATATCAGAAAGAATTTTAAAGTAAAATCAATAATTGATAATTTTGATACAGTAAAGAAATGTTGGACATAATTTTATATGTATAGCCATAATAATTATCAAAAGAATATTATTTTTATTTTATATGTTTTTATTATTAGTTTAGAAAATCAAACTTCCAATTTAAATTTTAATTTATTTTAATAAATTTAAAGTTTAACATTTTTATCTTTAAATTTTGATTCGTATTTTTATAAAGCTGGATCATTTTAGATTTTATTTGATGCATATTTTTACTGCGGTCTAAAATAAATTTTTAGTAAAAAATTTTTTTAAGTGCAGTCAAGAACCAACCAACTCGCTTATTTTTCCACTTATTATTTTTTCCCCATTTCATCTATCCGATCTGATGACAAAAGACTTGTTTCGATAGATCCATCGTGCAATTGTTGCGTACAGTCGGAGAACGGGGACGGCGATCCACCGGACAGAGGTCGGAGGCTGCGGGGGGAGTTGAGAGATTGGAGGTTTGCCAGGGCAAGATGTTGGAGTGGGCGACGGTGCAGCATCTCGACTTGAGGCATGTTGGCCGTGGCCTTAAGCCCCTGCAGCCTCATGCCGCCGTCTTCCACCCCACTCAAGCGGTCGTCGCAGTTGCTATCGGCACCTACATCCTCGGTATGCCCTCAATCTTCTATTTAGTTTATCAGAAACATTTCTTTTCCATGTCCACGAATTGACGGGACTACGTTTCATCCTAAGATGTTTTTCGAAGACTTCTTGTCTCAGCAGTTTTATTGGATAACTACTAGAACTTCAAGATAAATCTTTCGCGATATTTTTTTATGAGGGCATGGGTGATTGCACATATCCACTGATATAAAATGGCTGTTTTTCTTTGTTCAAAGTGGAATGAAGTGTCCACATTTATCTTCAAGTTTCGTGTACTATTTGTTTGATGTGCTCGACTTTTTTTCGTAGATTTAATAGTTCATCTTAAGCCCGCCTCTATTAAGAGGGATGTGTGGTTACTAAGTTTCAAAGAATTGAAGTTATTTAGTCTGGTCAGGACGGGCATACCTGATTGAACTGAGGCATATCTATGATCTTTACTTGATTTTTGAAAATTGGCTTCATCTTTTTCGCCATCTTGATGCTATTGTGGTTCAAGAGATCGATGGGCATGGTTGATGTGTGAAAGTAGTAGTTAATTATCTTCTGCTGCTGAATTATGAGCTCTACCTAATGTTGGGTTGCGTGATCTTTCTTTGCGGGCTTATCTTGATGGGAGCTTTTTTACCGAAGCTTTGGGATTTAAAATGACAAGAGTGGCTAAGATGCGATATAATTAAAGTGATTATTTCTGGGGACGTGCTACTTCCTTTGGCGTGATTCAGTGATTCAGTGGGGGGTGGGTTAGGGGTGGTTAAGGAAAGGGGATCTGTTTCTTTTCTATTACATTTGATGACCAGATTGTTACCTTGCTATCATTTGCATTCGTTTTGGAAATAGGGCTGTTAATGATCTACTATCCAGCTGATCCAATTCCATCTCAAGATTGGCTCAAAGTCGTTCAATTTTATCTCTAGTCAAGCAAGTTTTGTTATCAGTTTCCTTGATCCAGTCTTGATTTTTGTCATGCTTGGCTTGCTAACTTTGACTTGAACAAAAAAATTTCCAATTTCGACTTATTTCCAATCTTCTAAAATAAATTTTTTGTTTAACATACATAATATACTTATGTATATAATATACAACAATAACAACAGCCTTTATCCCGCTACATGGGGTCAATTGCATGAGTTGTTTATCTCAATTGTATCCTATTAAGAATCAAATTCTCATTTAAATCTAAAAAAAAGATCATTTTTAGTACTTTCTAACCAAGTGTTTTAAGGTCTAGCTCTGCCTTTGTTAACGTAAGCCAGCTAATATATCTATTCTCTTAACAAGGTAATCAGAAGGTTGATATTTTATGTGACCAAATCATTTAAGGATTCTCTCTCTATTCTCATCTATCATTGAAGCTGCTCCAATCTTGTCACATATATACTCGTTTTGTGTTCTATCTCTAAGTGTAAAATCACTCTTCCACTTGGGCATTCTCATCACTGCAACACAGCTTAATTTTGCGCCATAAAGCATTGTAGGTCTTACGTACCAAAATCTTATAAAAATTTCCCTTAAGTATGAGGGTTACGTTTCTATCACACAACAAGCCCGATATGTATTCCTCCACTTCCAACCATCCAACTTGAATTCTACTAATCATATCCCTATCTATTTCACCATCACTTTAAACAATAGACCTGAGATATCTATAATGTGCACTCTTTCTAATGACTTCATCACCCAACATCACAATCCCACAATTAGATTTATTACTACTAATATCACAACCCCAATTTTAACTTGTTACACTACTCGGGAAAATTCGATTTGAGTTAGATTTGACCCAAAAAACTTATTCCATTTTAAAATGATCTTTGATCTTCTAGTCAATCTCATGACTCTATTTGAAAAGGGATGTCGATTAAGGCTTCTTGGGCATATTTTATCTTCGTCATACTGTGAATTTTGTTTAGGTAAGTTTACTTCTTAAATAGGGTCTTGCTAGGCTCTTGAATTAAATATGAATTTGAGTGTATGTTAGGTTGATGTAGATGGACGTTGATTATTCAACATTAATATTAATGTTTGATTCTTTGTCAAACTCTTAGGGCATATTTGATTGGCGATTACTTAAGTGCCAAATGAAAAAAGGAGGCCCTCGTTTGCAGAAGATTTTGATAGGAAACACTTGCAGATCTCAAGTTTTTCCTATCAATCTTCGGAAAACAACGAGATTTCTCCACAAAAATCCACACAAAAACACGAAAATAGTAGATAATTTGTATTATTTGATGAAAAGGATTTGGAAAATACCAAGATACAATTGATCATCTATTCGAGAGGAGGATCGATCTCTCCCAAATCTCTAGACGCCGCTAGAGCCCAAAGAAAACCTAAATCTAGGAGGTCTCAAATTTCAGCCAAATTTAAGATGCCCTAACACTAGAAAAACAAATTATTTAATGCATACAAATCTAGAGAAAATTTCTAAACAATCCCTACATTCAAATTTCCCTCTAACTCCCTAAAAAAACCTTCCTAAAATAGCCTACGCATGCTGTGCGTGCGTTCGGTGCCTACAGGAGGCGAAGAAATTTGCCTTTGTGTTCATGTATGCCAGTCCCGTCGGACCGGTCCAATGGACCGGTCTAATAATACTCCCCTCCCAAAGATTCACCTTGTTCGCAAGGTGGAAAGATGATACCCTTCTCCATTCCTTCTTCATCACAAACGATAAGAACCTACGAAGTTCGGTCTTTACAGTTGTGCCCTGGCTTATGCCTTTCGTCACATCTGAAACAGATCCCCTTCACCCTCTTCTCATGTAATTCTGTCTTTGTAAGCTTCTTGAAGTTATCTTCAAGTCTTCCTCCAGTAGTCTTCTCCTTCGAAGTCTCCCTAAGAGTACCTGGTGTTGGCTTCTTGGGAGCCAAAAAGGTGATGGTCATCTTGTACGAGCCTACTGAGCTGTTGCCTCTAGTTTCTCTCTCCAGGTGCCTCTGATCCTCCACCAACTGAGCTAGTTCCATAGCCTCTCCCAAGTTACAAGGCCTCGTTACTCTAACCGCTGCCCGGATCTCTGCTGTTTGTCCCTTCATAAAATTTTCCTCTAACACTGTCTCAAGAAGGCAGTCCAATCGGCTAGCAAGGTACTCAAATCTCTCCTGGCACTCCATCACTGAACTCTCCTATGTCAAGGCGAAGAACTGCTCGTAGAAGTCTTCTCCCTTGTCAATTCGGAAACGTTCTACCAAACAATCCTTGAACTCTCTCTAACTCCGTATGGGTCGTCGCATGTCCCTCCCCTAATACAAAGACAAAGCCTCCCGCTGTCATCAGTCTCTGCTCCTCTATCAATCCATTGATGGCGAAATATCTCTCTACCTTGTAGATCCACCCGTGCGTATCCTCCCACTCAAATATTGACATCTTTAGTTTCCTCACCCATTTCCCCTAAATCCTCAATAACTCCCCATTCCTCGAAGAGGAGGTGCTTCCCAATTGTCACGATCTTCCCTCTGACGATCATATCCAAACCCTTCATCAAAATCCTCTCTTATTTTTTCAAAATCAGCACCCCGGCTATCAAAATCATACCCTCTCCTTACAAATTCAGCACCCCTTCTTGCATAGCCAATGCTCATCTCCTCCCTAGAAAGTGGTTCTAGAGGAGGCATTCTATATTCTCCCTCCAGGATCTCCACTTATGAATTTTTCCTTCCCCTAAACGTGTTAGGGTTCTCATCTCTTCCATGGTTATCGGTAGTTTCCTTTGCTTCTGATGTCACTGGTTTGGTTTTGGTTTCAAGCAATTTCCTCAACATGTCTTCCATCACGGCAAACTTTTCCTCCATCCTTTCATTGGTCGATGCAATTTGATTTTGAAAATCAACAATTTTCTTCTCAAAATCTGCTTTGAGTTGCCCAAGTTCTCCCTCCAAAATTTTCACTTTCCTTCCGGTTATTGGTTCCCCTTCGATCGACATGATATGATACCAATTTGATAGGAAACACTTGTAGATCTCTAATTTTTCCTATCAATCTTCAGAAAACAGTGAGAATTCTCCCCAAAAAACCACGAACACAGTCGATAATTTGTATTATTTGATGAAAATGAAGCATAAAATACCAAGATACAATTGATCCTCTATTCGAGAGGAGGATTGATCTCTCCCAAATCTCTAGACGCCGCTAGAACCCAAAGAAAACCTAAATCTCGGAGATCTCAAATTTCAGCCAAATTCAAGATGCCATAACCCTAGAAAAACAAACTATTTAATGCATACAAATCAAAAGGAAACCTCTAAACAATCCATACATTCAAATTTCCCTCCTAACTCCCTCAAAAAACATTCTTAAAACAGCCTACGTTCGGTCTCTATAGGAGGCGGAGAAATCTGCCTTTGTGTTCGCGTATGATGGTCTCGTCGGACCGGCTTGACTGATCTAACTAATTAGTGCTACTTATCTTGTTCCTTGTGCTTAAGTATGCCTAAACTAAGCTAACCTTCACCCTATTTTATATCATGTTTTATTGTTCACAGCTTAAGCTTTTCATTTGATTATTCAAAGATCGTGAGCTCAAGTTTCTTAGCAAATATTTAGCATAGATCAACTTATCAATTAACAATCAAACTTTTTAATTTTGCTATAAGGCTTAGCCTGACTTAGTTTTTTTTGAAATAGCTTAAGCCCTATCCAAACAGGCCTTTTCGATCATAGTTTGGATTATTTTTAAAGCACGTCATGGTTTTTATGTTAGAATTTCCTGTTTGAGGCTTTATTATTTTTATGCTATTTTTAAAGATGGCTTCCCATGGCAGAAGGACCAGTCCTTAGGAATACCTATAATGACTAGGGCTGCAAATGAACCGAGCCTAGTCGAGTATGTGGGTGTTCATGTTTGAGTTCGTTTATTATTACCTTGTTCAAGTTCGGTTCATGTTAGATTCGAGCTTTATTGTTTGTATTCATGTTTGGTTCGTTTAATTTATCGGTGTTCATGTTCGGTCCATGTTTGGTTCGTTTAGTACTTATCGAGCTTTAAACAAACAAACATTAACGAG